CCCCCCCCTGCCGCCACCACATGTGCACACACACTCACATGTACTCACCCACACATGTGAGCAAACACACACAAATACACACACATGCACATGAGAGTGCACTCCACTTTTTGTTTGCTTGGTAATATATGATTGTTTCTATTTCAAATTTACAACCAAATCATAGCTTCTTTAGCAACACCAAAAGCTTCTCTGATGTTGACAACAATGGCAATATTTTGGCATTGGTATTTTCCATTGGTTTTGTTGATAGCTGCATTCTTATCTCCTAATTAGATATGTATATAGTTACTATTTTCCTAAATTATTGAAATTTATCCGATTTATTTCTTAAAATTCATAAATTGCTAATTTTGCCTAAATGTTATAATTGCTTTTTAATATATCCAATTGTCTCCCTTTTTCTGCATTCTGACTGCTTCCATGATTCATGTCCTTTTTAGTCTTGTTATAACAATTGAATGATTTAACTCTCATGAAGCACTTAGTATTACATTTAAATATTACTATTTTTTTATTATATTTTCCTTTTTTTTAACTTTTCTTTTCGTCATTTACTCTGTGTGCATTGAATTCAACATCCCACCCTGAGCTTATCACCATCTGTCACACATTGAAAATTCTCATGTGACAGATATGAGCCATTTTGCACCAGTTTTGTCAATTTCTCTCAATGACAATGTCAAATATCTTTATCATTGTCAATTTGGAGCTGTGGAAATACTAACTAGTTTGCCTGAGGTTGGTTGATCATGAAGTAACATAGTTACAATTCTGATCCAGGTCTATTGTCCTCATGAGCTCTGATCTTGACTGGAAACATGGTACCTCACATTCATTTTGCCTTTCCTCTGCAGGTGTGTGTGTGTGTGTGTGGGGGGGGGGGCATCTTGAATTTGTTTTATGCTTTAGTGACCTAGGTTTTATCAGAGATGTCTTTACTATCCAAATACATTCACATTTATTCTATAAATGTATTTTTTTTCATTTTATGGATGCAGTATTCCTTTTTTTCTTTACAAAGAATGGGTGGAAGCTATTCTGAAATATTCCTTTCCAACACTAGTTTTCTTTACTGTTGTCTCTACATTTTCATATTATTTAACTATTGGTGAAATTATTAAGGCCACTCCACATAGTTAAAAGGGAGAGTTATTTAGTGGCGTAACTTACAAATGAAGGGATAAGTAGGTTGCAGAGTCTGGGAAAGACGTAGTGCAGTCCAGCGGTGTTCTCTGGAGAACTCTGCTCGGTCTACCTCCAGCGTCCAGGATCCAGGAAACAAGAGAGATGGCGCATCCAGATCTCGGGTCTTCAGGGTCCTCTCTTGGGCCCGCCTTGTAGGCCTGACAGTTACCGAAGCCTCAATGGGGGTTGAAACTTCCAGATCAAAGCTGGAATGGCTACCCACTACATTTAACTTGTTCATTAGTGCTGTGTTTTGCTCCTCCTAGTTCTTTGGGAAACAGGTCGTGGACAACAAGGTCCTACACTAGAGAATCTACAGTCTTATTTGCAGTTGTACATCAGACAATAAAAATTCTTCATGATAATGGAGATACTTTTGAAAGTACATATGAAACTGGTGCTGTAATTAGTGGAGGAGGCTGAATGTAGGATCACAGAGTTATGATGACACAATCTCCAACCATTCACAGAATATCTCTCCCTTGGAAGGCAATGATCAACAGAAGCATTTTATCTGGACTCATTGCTGTGGCTGTGACTAAATCCAGGACTTTAGTCCTTTGTTTCTTCATACTTAATTTCAAATTTGTCTTTTCCCCATAGTTGAGATTAGAGAAAGATGCTCTCTAGAATCCCTGAGATTGAGGGATACGTGAATACTTACATGCTTAAACCTGTCCTGTCAAATCTGAGTATGACAGAGATCCTAAAAGCAATGATGCTCTCAGTATAGGGTTGAATTCCTGGCCTTAAAAATCACACAAATAATTCAATAATTGTGCAAACAAGACCTGCATAATAACCATAACAGTGGACATGCCAAAATAGATGGGGAAATTCCACAAGGTCCCACCCCTAGATGAAGAATCTAGACAGTCAATGACCTCTGAGAGAGGGAGACATACTTTTCTCCAAGAATGAGCCTAAGTGGTCAGTTCTAAACATATGCATATATGAGAAACACTAAATAGATTTAGTAAATTGTGTGTATGTATGTAGTAATAATAATTAAAAAAGAATAAGTCATGAATTAGAAAGGGAATCAGAAAAGATATGGGTGGAGAAGGAGCAGGGAGTAGGAGGAATGGAAATGTTGTAAATAATACTCATGTATGAAATTCTCAAAAATGTAGTTGAAAATAATCATGAGATTAAATAATTTTAAACAGAAAAAATAATTTGATAAAATCAAAGCTTTTTAGACAGGGTTTTACTATGTAACCCTGGCTGGCCTGAAGTTTGTTATGAGGAGGAGGCTGGTCTAGAACTCAGAGATCTGCTTTTCTCTGCCAAAAAAGTGCTAGGATTAACAGAATGAACTACCATACCAGGCAGAAAATTTTAAGTCCAAGTGAGTTCCCATACACTGAAACCTGAAAATAAAATCTTCAAAATCCTGGTATAAATTCAAATATTTTGTTTCTGGTAATATTTTTTCAAAAGTTTATGAAGTAAATGACAACTATGCAAATTCCTTTCCCTCTTCTACCTTCTAGTAAGTCTTAAATTTATTTTTGATCAAACATTGGGGGATATGAAAATACAGTGTTCCATATCTAAAGAGTAACCTGCCCATCTGTTAATGGCAACCACTTAGAAACACAGCAAAGGCTGACTTCATGCACAGGAATTCTTTTCACTTAGTGTGATTTTTCAGTAACCCAGAAGAGAAAAACCAGAGAGAGCTGGCTGAGAGAGTTGTTAACCTTCATGCCATATTCATTTATCACCTACACAATAGAAAGTAATTAAGACCTGCAGTCTAAAGGCAGGTGACCTATCAGAATATTAAGGGTGTCTTCAAGTAGGTACTTTGTTATGTGAACATGTAATTACATTGTGTCTTAAGACATTGTCTGAGTATCTTGCCTGATAAGTTGTGGGAATATATAACTCTATTTTAGTGTGATTCCCATGTTTTGAAAAGTAAGTATGCATTTCTGCTTTGTGCTCATTAATACCTTCACTATAAACCAAAAGGCTTCATTAAATCCTCTTGATTGTAGGAAATGTACCTGTGATATGTGTGTATATACCATTAACAGCGATTTTATTAAGAAAGTAACTTACAATGACCCAATGTAAAAGAATGGAAGCAAAATTCAATAGTATGTTTTAAATTTTATATTTTAATTAAAAGACAAAATAGTGATATACTCATTAATGATTAAGGGCCATATATAGAGTTGTGTATGGCTGTTAACACCTAAAATTTTAGGGTACTGAATAAGAAGAGAGCTATGCTGGGGTGCAGACATCTTGAGCTTTCATCCTACCATTGATGCTAATGACCTTTTGCAGTCCAAAACAACAACTTACAATTAATAAGTTTTCAGACTCAAGAGATTTGTTCATTTCCAATTGTGAAAGGCAAGATGACTCATCCAGCATCATAAAAAAGAATACATCCTATAACTATAAAAACATGTGCTCTATATGTTCAAGGAAACAAAAAAAATAGTCATCACAGTATCCCATTAAGTTCAATTAAAATGTCTGATACATTTTTGATGACTCTTTTAACTAAAGCATGGTAACAAATATATCTAATATTTTAAGTTGAAAAACAAAATAAAATCTCGCTGAGTTTATCTTAGGCTATGGCATTGGGCATTTATTCTTACATAATATTTGGCTGATTTCATTTGTATTTGTAATATCTTCATTGAGTGTATGCTTTGTAATTTCCAACATTCAAGTGAAAGAATTGTATGATAAATATTCAAATACTACTTATATTCTCCAAGTAATTTTTACCATGCTTATCATATTACATGGTTATTCACTTATTCATCTCCTAGTACTTCTCTGTCAGTGAGCCAAAGTAAGATTCAGACATCAATGTATACTGCCCTTACGTACTTCTGCATTTATGTTATTAAGTACATTTTAATATTTGCTTAAGGTTACTTGTAATTTCTCTTTCAGGTTAAATTCTTTTAGACAAAAGAATGAACAATTTTAGCATATAGTATTTGGTGATGTTCACTGACAAATGTGCACACACCTTTACCCCAGTACAGAATATTTTGCTGGGACTGGCCCAGTAACATCCTTCAAAGGCTGTCCTAGTTAATCCCTGTTTTTACTCTAAGTGCAAAAGCAAGTGCTGCTTCACATTTTCTAACTATAGATTGTTTCTCTGTTCTAGAATTTTATGAAAATGAAGTCACATGACATATACTTTTGTATAAAACACCGTTCACTATGCATAGTTTTTTAAATTTTCTCATTTGCTGTGTACATCAATATTTTATCATCTTTTATTATTGGATTATATCACATATGAATGAACTCAATGTATTTATCTAGCTATTCTGCTTTTCTTGGACAGCTGGACGATTCCCATATTGAACTATGATGAGTAAAGTCAGCATGACCATTTTTTACAAATCTTTCTGTGGCATATGCTTTCATTATTCTAATCTAAATCTTTGAAAGAATTTCTGGGTTATGCAATAATTTGCATGTTTCAATTTAAAATAAATTTCCAGACCTTTTCCACCAAAGAAATTGCTCAATTTTATACTTGCAGTGACAATATATAAAAATACAGTTAACCAATGTCCTTACCTATATTCATTCTTGTAAGGCTATAATTTTTGCCTTTCTAGGTGATGTGTCTTTTGTTGTGATAACTATTTATACTTCCTTCACAAACAATAAAGTTGACTGTATTATTTGGTTTCCAGTCTTACTTTGGGAAATGCTTCTCTATTTTTCTTTCAATCTTTGCTTTATTAGAAGGCACAGTGTGTAGTGAACACAACCAGGCAGGCAGAGATGGTGTACCAGCAACTGAGGTGACAAGTCTAACAGAGTTTCTTGGGGTTAAGGTCTTTGTACTGCTTTTTGTATGGAACCTTGGAGAAGCAGATGGTGGCCTGGCAGTCACAGTTGCAGATGAAGTCCTTACAGGCTTTGTTTTTGTCGCTGCAGGTGATCTCATTCCCAGAGCAGGAGCAGGAGTAGGAGCTGGTGTAGGGGTTGTCTAAGAGTAATGTACAGTTTTCCAGGTCATAGACCTGAGCATAGCAGTTGTCACTAGTCCGGCAGCACTTGTCTAAGTCTTTCACCCAGTTGTTCAAGCTGACAAAGGTACAGTAGCAGCCATAGATGTTATACTCCTGCAAGAAATGACTCCTTGGCATGGTGCCCTTGACTACAATGACAAGCTGCCACACAGCCTGAGGGCTGATGCTGTGTACAGTAGTGCCTGCTACAAAAATACACAGCACACTCCATCAATCCCATGTGGCTTTAACAAGGGTCTGATGCCTGCCTGCTAGCTTCTTCCTTGACTCCTACCAGCTTCAGGAGAGCAGTGTATAAAGCAGTGTGTGTGTGTGTGTGTGTGTGTGTGTGTGTGTGTGTGTGTATGTGTGTGTGTTTGCCCACACAAGGGTTCACACGCACGCACTTGGGAGCACTCATAAGTCATGTTACACATGAGGAGATCAGAGGACAGCTTTAGGGTGTTGGTTTTCTCCCTCTACTATGTAGGTCTTGGAGACCAAACTCAAGTCACCAGGCTGAGCAGGAAGGTGTCTACTTATTTGAGACAGGGAGTTGCCCTGCAACCCAGGATAGCCTCCAGCTCTGTAGCAACCCTCTGGCCTCAGCCTCTTGGGTGGTAGGATTATAAATGAACACCACTGCAGGGAGCTGGGCTGACTACCAGGATTAAGTTCTATAAAGATTGCCTTTTGTCTTGCTTGCCTTCTCATATCTCACTGTCAGGACAATAGCTGCCATACTGTGAGCTGAGCTGTGGTCCCTGTGTTGAGGAGCTGAGAACACTCTCCAGTCAGCAGCAAGGGACGAACTGACTTCTTAGTTCAATAACACAACAACCTAACCATCTCTTGAGTTTGAAAGCTGTCCCAACCCTACTCAAACCTAGGTGAAACCCTAGCCTTAGGCAGCAGTGGGATGCATCACAGTTCTATCTGAGGCCTTGAGCCAGAGAAGCAGCCAACACATACTTATTGTTTTACACTGGTACAATTGGACAGAATCTGTTGTATGTCCACACAAAGCTCATATACAAGGCTAACGGTCAGATCATCACTGTAATGTCAACATTTGAAATAACAAACTGTTCATCAGCTGAGGCATAGATAAATAACCCAGTCTGCAGTAGGATACTTGGTAGTCATGAAAATGAAAGAGAAGCAAGGAACAGTGGAACACACACTGTGTAATCCCAGAAATGTGGAGGCTGTTTCTCCTTTACCTGTTTTATTTTATTTTATATTCTCTCTAATTCATGGTCTCTTTTTTGATTAATTGTTGCTGCATATATATATATATATATATATATATATATATATATATATATATATATATATATATATATATATTCCTACTAAGATCTGCTCAGTCTGTAAATGTTACTTGTATATATGTTTTCAGGGTGATTATTTTGTATTGGATGACCAATTGGTGTGATATTCCTCGAGGAAGACTATTTCTCTCATTCCCATCATTTTTCATTTGCTTATAGTTGATTTGATATGGTTGAAACCTCATAGGCTTTTCCCTGTTCATTCTTGAATGCCTGATGGTATTATGCTTGTTCATCTCACTTTCGGGCAGTTATTTTGGTGAGAATTTATGGGTGTAGCTTCTGAAATTCCTATGAGACACAGTCTCAGAGCAAACTCTCCGATATTCTGGCTCTTACAATCTTTCCACCACCCTAATATGCAATGATCCTTGAGCCTTAGGTGCAAGAATGTTTTGTAGATACAGCCATTGGGACTCAGCTCCACAACTCTGCATTTTGATTGGTTGTATTTCTCTATAATGATCTCTTTCTGTTGCAAAGAGTATTATCCTTAAATAAGGGTGAAGATTACAGTTTTCTGTGAGTGTAAGGACAGCTATCCAAACTGTTTTTCGGATTATGCTGGCTTACTTAAGTAGTGATTGTAGGTTCTCTTCCAATATTCATGACTTCACTGGAACTCAACAGTTAGCTAGGGTGCAAGTGTTAGGTGTAGTTTTTTGTTGAGCAGATGTTACATCTGACTAGAGAGTTGTTGGTTACCACTAAGGTATACATGCCACTACTGCACTTTTATGGTTATTCTGCCATGCTGGTCAATGTCACGATTCATAGACTTCATAGCTTGGAAGGACTGTTGGTTGCCTCCTTCCTTTGGAAGCTTGCATAGTGTCTTTTGTCACCATAAAAGCTAGTCCTCATGGAGGAAGCACTAAGATTGGTTCCAGCTCCGGGATCTCTGGTTCTTGTGTCTGAATTCCATGGTGTCTTCATCTATAGCGACCTAACCTCCACTTCTGGGGGCAACCAAGGTCAACATAGGGTATACGTATGTTTTTGGAGTGTCTTAGATAATTCTGGCCAATAACTGAAAAGATGGCTTCTCATATATACTATTGAGTTTTTGTTAGGTGGCATTTGGCTCTTGGAGGAAGTATTGTTATCCCAGATAAGAAATGTTCATTAAAACTATATTGTACACTTATATACAGAATTAAATGTGTATATTTAGTTATTCATTTTTTAAAAAATTTATTTATTTATTTTAAAAAAGTTTTTTGTTTTCATTTTACATTCTGGTTCCCTTTCCCTCCTCTTTCCCACATCCCACCATCCCACCCCCTGTCCATTCATTAGAGAGGGTCAAGACTCCCTTGGGAAGCCAACATAGTCTGGCATACTAAGTTGAGGCAAGACCGAGCCCCTCCCTACTGTGTCATGGCTGAGAGCAAGTTATCCCCTGCTAGGGAATGTGTTCCAAAAATCCTTTTCATGCACCAGGATAAGTCTTGGTCCCACTGCCAGGGTCTCCCCAAACAGATCTAGTCACAGAACTGTCACCCACATTCAGAGGGCCTCATTTGTTCCCATTCATGTTCCCCAGCTGACAGGCCAGAGTCCATGAACTCCCATCAGCTTGGATCAGTTGTCTCTATGGTTTCACCCATCATGATCTTGACCTCACTTGCTCCAGTGATTTCTCCTCCCTCTTTTCAACTGAAGTTTAGGAGCTCAGCCCAGTGCTTGGTTGTGGATCACTGCATCTGCTTCCATCAATTATAGGATGTAGGTTCTATGATGACAACTAGGGTAGTCATTTATCTAACTATAGGGGAAAGTAAGTTCAGGCACTCTCTCCATTATTGCTAGGAGTCTTAGCTGGTGTAGTTCTTATGGATTCCTGGGGATTTTTCTAGTGCCAGGTTTCTCCCTAATACCCTAATGGTTGCTTCTACCAAGGTATCTCTTTCATTGTTCTCCCTTTCCATCCCTCCCTCCACTAGACCATCTCAGTCCTTCCTGTTCCCATCCTCCATCTTTTCCCTTCTACCCAGCCTCCCAGTTTACCCAGGAGATCTTAACTATTTTCCCTTCCTGGGGTCCTCCATATGTGTCCCTCTTAGGGTCTTCCCTTTTACCTAGCTTCTCAGAATTGTCTGTTATAATTAACTTTTTTGTTCAGCATTATTAGAATAGCAAAAAAGTTAATGCCTAACATATCTGATGTTATCAAGGCTGTAGAACAACTTGAGCTCTCATGGTTTACTAACAAGAGTATAAATTATTATTATCATTTTGGAAACTGCTTGAAAGTATCTGTTTAAACTGGGCATGCTTATAATCTCATGACCAAACACTTCTTGTTTTGGATTTATATATGTGTATTTAGATACAGAATTATACATATTATAATTTTTCTTTGTAAATAGTTAATTGCATGATGCCTTATGGCTTTTTCAGACATCCTTGGTGTTATTTTATCCTTCTCTCTCTTCTATATTTACCCCCTTCCCTTCTTAAAGAGGCTCCATTTCCTATGTCTCCTATCAGATCACTTGAATCTAGTTATTCCCCTTTATCCTCTTCCCACCTTATTCTGAATTTACCTCTGTCCCTGCTTAAAGAGTCCTCCCATCCCATTTATCCTATGAGATCACTTGTGTCCTGATATATATATATCCCTTTACCCTCCTCTCACTTTCATCTGTATTTACCTCCCTTTCAGTCCATAAAGGTCCCCTCCATTTTCTTGATCAAATCACTTGTATCTAGCTATTCTATCGTCTTTGGCTCCCCAGCTCTTCTGTTATTACAATGGTCCTGTTTCATTTTCCTGGTTTCTGCAGTTACTCTAAGCTTTATACTCACATCTAAAGATTTGGAGCTAAAAGCTTCTCATGAGAGAGAACATGTTACTGTCTTTCTATGTCTGGCTCACCTCACTCAATATGGTCTTTTCTAGTTCCATCTATTTTCCTGCAAAGTTTTGATTTCACTTTTTTTTGGAGCTGAATTGGGTTCCAGAATGTATATGCATTGTGTCTTAATTATCCATTTGTTGGCCATAGGACATTTAGGTCATTTCTGTTTCCTACCTATTGTTTATAGAGCAGCCATGACTATGGCTATGTCTTTGACCCATTGGAATTAGTTTCATGAAAATTGATAGATATGCATCTAATTTCATTTTCTCTAAGTTGACATACATTTTACCAAGCACCATTTGTTAAAGATGCCTTCTGTTTTCCAGCTTCTGTTTTTAGATCTTCTCAATGGCCGATTTTTTTCTTTTTGTCATTAAATAATATTTGATTACATAGATACGTCACAATTGTCTGCTGGCAGATACTTAGATTGTTTCTAAATCTTGGCTATTATGAATAATGCTACAAATAACATGAGAGTGCAAATATTTCTTTGAGATTCTTATTTCACTTCCATTGGAAGTATCAAACAGTGGGATTGCTAGATCACCCAGAAAGTCTATTTTTAAAATTTTTGGAGTCCATACTCTTTTTCTACAATAGTTGCACAATTTATACCATAAAAACAAACGTGGATTTTCTTTACTTTGTAACCTTGCCATTATGTATCAATTTTTATGACAGTTAACCAACCAGTATAGACAGTACAACATTGTGATTTTTGTTTGCATTTCTCTAAGTATATGTGTGTACATGCACATACACACACATACACACACGTGCACACACAAAATATGTAAGTCTTCTATACAGGCTTATCCAAGGCATTTGCTCATTTACTGGGTTTTCATTATTTTGACTATGAGATCTCTGAGTTCCTCTTATATTTTGAATATTAAGTCTATTTTAGATGTGTAATTAAAACTTTTCCTCTTATCTCTTTGGTTGCCATTTATCTCTATAATTATTTTTTCCATTCTGCAAAAGCTTTTTCATATTTCCTCA